CAGTGGCATCTATAAAAGGATCTTCCCTCTGCAGTAAAATGCCAGTCATTTGAAAGGCACTCTTGTTGTTGAAACCTTCCAAGTTTTATGAAAATACAAAAACATCCAGTAATGCAGAATGTTTGATAATCAGTATTCTCAACTCGTACATGATTTGATACAAACAGCTGTCTTGCAAATGTAACATGATGCTTGCCAGATGGCTGAGGTGGCAAAGGTATCAGCCCACTAATCCAAGAGACTGGGAATTGAATCAAACAAGTGAAGAACTACAGGAATTTTTGATGGCCCTGTCTCTCACTACTTTGCTATTTCCATTGTGGGTATGGTTGAATCATATGATAGCATCTATGATGAGCATGTTGAAAGGATATCTTAGAGTCTGTAGAGTGGAAAGAGGGAAATGTCACACGATTTGGATGTATATGCAGACATTCCAATTCCAGTTTGAGTATTGCTGGAACATGTCTGTCTGACATCAAAGTATACACTAATGCCATCTGGATCACATGAATGCTATAACAAAATTATTGTCTTCATTTGAATTCTGCTTGCATTAAAGATAGCATCTAAATTATTAAATTATAGTGTAATAGTTTTATTATATAAACATTATTGTATTGGCTTTAAAAACTTTAAGCAATTCTAATTAAAATTAGTGATGTGCCGGATTGTTAAAAATGTATATCCGCAGATACAGATATGGATCATTAGTGTCTAGATCCGTGGATACGGATACGGATCTCAACTTTCATCTCAGTCGGCACCGGTGCGTGTGACCTTGGACTGATAGTTGACGCTTTGCGTTAGTAACGTGACGTGTTTTGATTTGCACTGCAGTGTTTTTGTTTATAGTGTAAAAGTGTGCGAAATTAGAATTCACCACAATGGCAGACAGGATAAAGTAACAAAAATTTTCCAATATAAATTTCCAATTAAACTGTTTCGCGTCTTTATACAGATTCTATTTCGGGGATTCCAACTTCATGGTACAAACAGTAGCATGCGAAATTACAGCAATAATAATAGATTGCTGTATCCAAAGCACGTGTACAATACAGATCCCGATCGCGACAATATATATATAACCCGAAACCTTAAAACTAACCTTAAACACAAACTTAACACTAATAACAGAAAAAGGAATAGAATTAGGAAGACAGAATAAATGGTTGATAAGATAGAAATAGGGATATCCGGGATTTTGTCCCTTTTTTTGGCTTGTTTCTTTGTGCGTACTGTCGGGTGGGATAACGCACGTCCTTCTCTTATAACTGGCCAGTTCTCTTCTTTAATAATTATTTTTCCTTCCACTGTCGTCAACACGACCTTAAAACAGGATCTGAGGAATTTGAAAACTGAATATCATACACTAATGCTAATTTGCTCACAGAATATGCCAAAGAAAAAAGATTATCAAGAGACCAAGATCCATTAAAGTATTGGGAGATTAATAGTAAAAAATTTGGAGGTCTTAGTCACATGGCTTGCACATATTTATTGTCACCTGCAACAAGCATTCCAAGTGAGCAGTTTTTTAGTGCAGCAGGAATTATTTATGATCCTCATCGTAATAGACTTTTGGGGGATAAAGCTGCCAAGTTACTCTTTTTGAAGTACAATTTACCATTAATTAATTTTGATTATGACATTTAATTTTTTTGAAGTTTCTAAAATTGTGATTATTTTATCTGATAATTTGATAATTAAAATTCTTTGATAATTATTATAATATAATATAACCGTGATGATTATTTCAATTAGCATTAGAGGTTTGATCTCACTATAAAGATAGTTAAATTAATACCTTATACTGGTAACTTATAATTAATGTTTAAATATTTAATTTTTGCAATATAAAAGTGCCAAATATGTGATTTTAATAAATAAAAAGTGATTTGAATTGAAGTTGTTAGTATTTTATTGCTCTCTCTCTTTAAAATTTCATATAAGTAATGAAAATCATTAAGATAAAAGATCCGTTAAAGATCCGCTAAAAAGTAACGGATACGGATACGGATCTTTTTTTTCCCTCGGATATCCGCGGATACGGATACGGATACGGATATC